AATTTATTGGGCGTTCTACTCAAAAGTGATTGAAGAATTTGTCTCCTAGAAATACGACAGCCGGTGAATGGCAGCTAAGCTTTGGTGATTTCGAACTGAGAACTTGCATTTAATTTAATCGATGTCATATGTACCCATTGCTTGCATTAAAGTTCGTTAAAAGCATTGAGACTACACATCTATATAAGTGAATTTAACTTTTGACTGTTGATTGTGCTTGTCAGCATATCGACACCTCTATGCGTTATTTAATCTCGAAATCCAAATATTTGTACGTAATTTTATGCTTCAAGTAGAAATAATATATACATAATTTATTCTTTCAGAGTAAATGGTATGTTTTTAAATATATATTTTGTAGATCGTAGCTAGTAATTTCACTATAAAAATGTATTTTTATAATTCTTTAGTGTTGCATTAATTGACATTTTGCAATAAAAATGTATTGTTGGTCATTTTATTATAAAAAAAATGTACTATTGATATTTGTCTTGGGGTTCATCATTTGTTCATAACTGAGACCCTAACAGGTGCTAACACCCCCGGTCATGCTGAACCTGGAAAAAACAGCAATTAAGAGGTGGTTCCACGCTCGTCAAAATCTCCGATCTCCTCATCAGATGACTTTCTGCCGGATGTAGTTTATCGTCATACCCAGGATGATATAAAAATGACAATGACAGATAAGCAACTTGTTCATCTTACGAACTGAATAAATAAAACATACACACGCACACACACACACACACAAACACACACACACATATTCAATATATATATATATATATATATATATATATATTTCGTCAGGGAAAGTAAGAGCCTTACTTTCCCTGACGATCCGTTTAGGTCAAACGTGGGTAGGTTTGTCTGGCTCACTAGGTTTATCTAGGTCTGCTCTACGGTTGTATTGAGCGCTTTTGTTAGTTAGTTGTTTACTCGTATCGGGGTTTTTTCTTTGGGCTTCAGACCTGTATCTGTGCGATTTTTTTCGACAAACTTTCATGTTTCTAGCTCTTTCTTTTTTAAAAACCTTTTTTTCCCTCGAGATTGATTTGATTATTGGTAAATCAAAAATTCGAAGGTTTTTCGAAACGAGTATATTTACCTATATTTGTAATTATATATATATATATATATATATATATATATATATATATATATATATATAATTATTTATTTATTTAAAAATTATAACAAAAATATGTTATAAAATCACTACAAAAATAGCCATTTTGTTTCAACACCTCCGGTGTCTTATCAAGTGATGATGTTGAATGTAGAATAAATGGTTTTAAAAGTTTCAAATTAATTAACGATCCTTCACAAGGTGACAACGCTGTTACAAAAGCTAGAATGACCAATCAAAACACAAGTATAAGAGAATTAAAAAAAAAACTTGACAACGAAGTAAGGTTATAATAGCTATTAAGTTTTTTTTATTCCGTATAGACCAATCCTATACTTGGGTATATATATATATATATATATATATATATATATATATATATATATAATTATTTATTTATTTAAAAATTATAACAAAAATATGGTATAAAATCACTACAAAAATAGCCATTTTGTTTCAACACCTTATGTGTCTTATCAAGTGATGATGTTGAATGTAAAATAAATCGTTTGAAAAGTTTCAAGGGGATTTGAAACTTTTGGAGGAGGTTGGTAAATAAATACTGTTTTCTAACTGCAACTTCATGTAACTTTCTTCCTTTTGGAGAACTTATCAATGCAAACTTTACACCTATTCAAGTAAGCAAACTATTTGCTACCTCTCTTACATATTAATCCGACGACCTCACTACTAACTTCAACCCCGACTGGCTTTGTCGTATTCCTTTTTTATTTCTTTTCGCTTTAACCTTTTTTACTTATATTTTATTCAGACAAAACTAGCTTCTTATTTTCATCATTTTTCTAAGACAAAATTGTTTTGTTCTTCTGAAAATTAAATTATTATTTATGAAGTGAAAAACGCGAAGATTATATATTGTACGATTTTTCAGGTTTAATTATGTAAACATACGACAAAGATTACCAATTATATATATATATATATATATATATATATATATATATATATATATATATATATATATTTGTATATTTAGGCAGCAATCCTTCGTTTATGCATGTTTCATTAAAAACGACAGACAAGGTACTACGGCTAAGCTTTTTATTTAATTTTTCTTGTGTTTGAAAAAGAGCTTTTTTTTTTCTGGACAATGAGTGTGTAAAAACTCTCTAAATGTTTTATATGTTTGAACCACCCTTGATCATGGCCAACGGTATAGCCGAAAGCGCTCGGATCTATAAAACATTATTTTTAATGAAACATGCATATATATATATATATATATATATATATATTAAGGATATAGATAATATATATATATAGATATATGTACAGATAATATATATGTATATGTATGATAATATATATATATATATATATATATATATATATATATATATTATCTCGCAATCAAATACATTCTACTTATAAACAAGACGGAAATATCCTAAAAAACTAATAAATACTAATATATCCGCAACAGATCCGAGTAAAATTAAAATTAATTATATACTATACTAAATTCAATATATACAATGTAATCATTTGTAATAACTCCCACCCACCAACTAACGTGTTGCAGAAAACCAACATTGTATATTGGAAGATTGTCTCTCAAACTGAAAAAAATAATATATATGTTTGTCATACGACTACTAAGTTGTCTCGAATGTTGAATTTTCATTTGAATAATGCATCTAACATATCTAAGCATTTACAACAGCATGCCTGTCCACATTCGCAATTTTGGAAAATTCTTGCGGAAAATACATCTATACTTTTTTTATGAAAATCATAAACATAAACTAAAAATTCTTGATGCTATCTGTAGTAAAATATTGAAACCAACCTTTAAATAAAATTAATTATGAATACCGCGCAAATATTTTAAAATGTTTACAGTAGATAGTTTAAAATATCTAAGATTTAAATAATAGTTTTAAATATTTTTTTTAGATATTAGACATTTCAATAACTTACCTCCCTTGACGTTTGTCGTATATTTATATTATAAAATCTACAAATGTACACTACATTACCTTAGCGCTTTTCACATTACAAATAAAAAATTAACTTTCAGATGAACATAATTTTGTCTTAGAAAAAACAAGAACTTGATGATGACATTGTGCTAATGTCGAAAATACTCGGAATAAAATGAATATGTATCAACATGGTAATTTTCTTTCTTCCTTTAATAAGGATACTACGAAAGTTGTCCGTAATTATGAGAGGACCCTATTAAAATAAGTAGAGAAAACTTGCCTAAATTAAAAAAATATATATATATATATATATATATATATATATATATATATATATATATATATATATATATATTAATTAGTACATATAATTGTACCAACGTTTTGTGTACTATTTATTGTATGTCTTTGCTCTTTCTAACCCATCGAACACTATTACGTTTACACCTCGTCTCTAAATTTGATGATTTTTTATTTATTCGCTTGCCCGCGTATGCACATCAGCACACCGGTGTATACGCTTGCTTATATCTGATCGTTTGATTTATTTATCCTATAATTATATATATATGTATATATATATATATATATATATATATATATATATATATATATATATATATATAGAGAGAGAGAGAGGAGGAGGGAGGGAGGGAGGGATAGATAGATAGATAGATAGATAGATAGATAGATAGATAGTGTGTGTGTCTGAGGGAGAGCACAGGAAATAACCTTTTCGGTGTATAGTCAGAAGTACTTCCTTTTATTTAATCGTCCTATTTTTCGGGCGTCGAAATTTCTATTGTGGAATATAAAATATCCATTATTTCTTTTGTGAGCTAAAACTTGATGATTCTGGGTGAAATATTACGACAAACCCAGACCAAATTCTACAACAGACAAACAAAATCAAATACAAATGTCTTGTAATACATATTTTTATTTTTTAGATTATGGATGGATAATTTAGGGATGAGTGCCCAATGTCAGTGAATTCTCTTTGGTCTCTCTCTGTCTGTCTGTCTGTCTGTCTGTCTGTCTCTCTCTCTCTCTCTCTCTATATATATATATATATATATATATATATATGTATATATATATATATATATATATATATCTTTCCGTCGGTTTCAGTGATTTGCTGTCTTTTTTTCTTTCTTTCTTTCATTCATTTATTCATCCTTTCTGTTTCTTTCCTTGTTTTCCATTCTTTCTTTCATTCTTTCCGTCTTTGTATATTTCATAATTTATTTCTATTGATCATTTTTCGTTCTTTCTGTTTTTTTTTCTTTTTGCTTTCTTTCTTTCTTTTTGCTTTCTTTATATATTTTTCTTTCTTTTTTATGTCTTTATTTCTTTTCCCGCTTTAAATTTTTATTCTTTCGTTCTTTTTTCTTTCTTTTTATTTTCTATTTTTCTTTCTTTCGTTTTTCTTTCTTTCGTTTTTCTTTCTGTCTTTCATTCATTTATTTTTTCTTTTTCTTCAAAATCTTCCTTTTTTTTTCTTTCTTTTTCCTATTTTCTTTTCCATTCTTTCTTTTCTTCTTTCCTTCTTTTATTTTTCATCCGTTGTTTCTATTCATCATATTTTCTTTGGTTCCTTTTTGCGTTCTTTTTTTCATTCTATGCATTTTTCATTTTTCTTCCTTTTTTCTTTCTTTATTTCATTCAATCTTTCTTTTTTCTTTTTGTCTATGCTTTTTCCTATTTCTTTTTCCATTCTTTCTTTCATTCTTTCCTTCTTTTTATTTTTCATCATTTTCTTCTATTTGTCAATTTTCATTTCTTCCTGTCTTTCTTTCTCCTCTCTTCATATTGTTCTTTATTTCTTTTTTCTTTCTTTTTTCTTCCTTTTTTCTTTCTTTTTTTCTTCCTTTTTTCTTTCTTTTTTCTTTCTTTTATTTTTCTTTCTAGTTTTCATTTAGCTTTCTTTCGTTTTTCTTTCTTTCTTTCTTTCTTTCTTTCTTTCTTTCTTCCATCCATTCATTCTTTCTTTTTTTTATCTTATTTTTATTCTTTTTTTTTCTTATTTTCTTTTCCATTCTTTCTTTCATTCTTTCCGTATTTATATTTTTCATCATTTTTTTTTCTTTCTATTTTTCGTTTGGTTTTCTTTCTTTTTTCTTCTTTGTATTATTCACTTATTTTTCTTTCTTTTTCTTTCTTTCTTTTTCTTTCTGTATTTTTAAATCTTCGTTCTTTTTCCTATTTCTTTTTCCATTCTTTCTTTCATCGTTTCCTTCATTGTATTTTTCATCCTTCCTTTCTATTTAGTATTTTTTTCTGTTTTTTTTTCTTTTTTCTTTGTTTTTCTTTCTCTGTACTCTTCATTTTTTCTTTCTTTTTTTCTTTCTTTCATTTTTTCATTTTTTTCTTTCTTCTTTATTGTCATACTTTCTATTTTTCATTTTCATTCTTTCTATTTTTCTTTCTATTTTCTTTCATTTTTGTTTGTTTCTTTGTGTGTGTTTCTATTTATGATTTTTTTCTTTCTATTTTATTTATTCCTATTTTTTCTTCTTCTTCTTTTTCGTTCTTTTTTTCTATTTTTCATTTATTATTTCTTTTTCCTTCTTTCATTCATTCACTCACTCAGTCATTCTTTCTTTCTTTTGTCTTTCTTTTTTCTTTCTTTTGTCTTTCTTTTTTCTTTCTTTTGTCTTTCTTTTTTCTTTCTTTTGTCTTTCTTTCTTTCCTCCTTCTTTTTTCTTTCTTTCTTTCTTTCTTTCTTTCTTTCTTTCTTTCGTTTTTGTCGACTCATGCTTCCCGTTTCCTCTTGTCACTATTGACATTTATTTCTTCACATTCCATGTTATTCTCATTCGCCGCCATCTTCCTTCTTCGTCTTCCCCACTTCCTCTATACGACAACAGACCTTTGGCTATTGTTCTTTTTCTCAAAAAAAAAAAAAAAAAAATGCGCTTCATCTACAGATTCGCATTTTTTAATGATTTCCTCTCTGTCCAAAGATTTCAATAAGGGATGTCACGGCACCCAGGTATGTCACAGACAGTACGAATATTGCAAGTTTTTTTGTTTGTTTGTTTTTTTAATTCCCATATCGAAGTAAAATTATGCCGTTCTTAAAAAAAAGTCCACACTCTTCTTCTTTATGCCGTGCCCCTTCAGGACGTTGTCAATCGTGGCTCTCCACAATTTCCTGTAATTTGTAGGTCTTAGTACATTTTCTGTTTTCGCAATATCTCCTCATCACTGTTCTACCAACAATTTACCCAAGCTCATTCACCTTCTTCTTCTTCTTCTTCTTCTTCTTCTTCTTCTTCTTCTTCTCCTACTTCTTCTTCTTCTCCATCTTCTTCTCCTTGTTGTTGTTGTTGTTCTTCTTCTTCTTTTATGTGCCGTGTCCCTTCAGGACGTAGGCGAACATTACTTTCCATAATTTCCAATCTTTTGTAGCTCTTCGTAAATTTTCGCTCTCTCTCCTCATCCTTGTTCTACCAGCCATTTACACAACCTCCCCTCTCCACCTTCCTCTTCCTCTTCTTCTTCTTCTTCTTCCTCTTCTTCTTCTTCTTCTTGCGTTTTCTCTTTTCTTCACCTTCTTCTTCGCGTGTTCGTCATCTTTCTTCTTCTTCTTCTTCTTCTTCTTCTTCTTCTTCTTCTTCTTCCCGTCTATTTCCTTCGCCTTCTTCTTCCTCACAAATTCTTCTGTCTCATCTTTTCTTTATTCTTCGCAAATTCTTCTCCTTCTTCCCTTTTTCATCTTTTCCAGCTTCATCATCATCTTCATCTTTTTTATCTTTCTTCTTTTTTCTTGTTCTTCTTGTTCTTGTTCTTGTTCTTGTTCTTGTTGTTCTTCTTCTTCTTCTATGTGCCGTGTCCCTTCAGGACGTAAGCGATCATCGCTCCCTACAATTTCCTGTTATGTGCATCACTTTTTCTTTTTTTAATCATTTCACCCCAAACAATGCGGAAATGCCGCTAATACATTGCGGGGGGTGGGTACAGAAAATTGATGGCGGGAAAAAAAGACTGGGTATAGGGGTGACCGATGAAAGGATAAAAATCTGTTCGGGGTTCAAGAAAATAGAAGATGGCGATTGACGTTGCATCCAAATTTTTGAAGATTGTAGTTATCATAGAAGCAAGTAAACGGAAGGGATTTCTACTGTCGGGAAGTGCAAGAAAAGAAACTGTCGGGGTAGAAGTGACAGTTGCATTTAACTATTTCGGCAGTAAAAGGGTGGGACCTAAATGCCAATCTAGTAAAACACTTAAACTCACGCAGATCTGGCACCAGGGAAAAAAAGCTCGTCTGTGCAGTTGCTATGAAATTATTTGTAGAAAAGACAGAGATAAGCCACGTTACGTCGATGAGAAAATGACTGAGATCGAGATGCCAAGTCAGGATCGATTACATTGCAGATCTTCTTTGGATTTTGACAACGAACTCGAAATGAGTAACAGCAGCATCAGACCAGATATGGCAACAGTATTTAATGTACGGGAGAATGTTAGATTTTTAAATGTACAAGATGGACTCTGACGAGACGAACCTTCTGGCACAACACAGTGAGCCAAGTTTCCTTGCAATAGATGCAGCTATCGAATCGATGTAGTCGGCCCACAAGTCAGTTGAAAACGTGAGGCCAAAAAAGCTCAGTGCATTACTCTCCATGAGTCTAGAATCAGCCATGCTGATGGCGGGCGGGAAAGTTTCTCTATGGTGGTTAAATGAGAGCAGTTTCGTTTTGTCTTTGTAGATTTTGTCTTTTCGCCAATTCTCCTTATTCATGTTCTGCCAACACAAGCTCCTTCCCTTTCTTCTTCTTTACTCCTTTTTCTTTTACTCCTTTTCTCTTTTCTTCTTTAACTTTTTCTTATCTCCCTTTTCTTCTTCTTCGCATCCTCTTCTTCTTTAATGCCCTCTCTCCTTTCCTTTACTTCTCTTTTCCCCTTCATCATTTCCTCCTCTTAGAATAGAAATGGAGATCCGAATAGTAACAGAGTATAAAATAGAAATAGCGATCCGTATAGTATAGAGGATAGACTAGAAATGAGGATCGTTAATCGTCACGATACTTTCTGCTTATGTGTTTCCTCTATGGCCACGTGATTCACTTAATTCAATAATTGAATCGCCTCTGTTTTCTCGCTGGCGATCTATGTCCAAAGTCAATTGTCGACAGCGACACTTTATTCCTATCTAACATATGTTATATTCCCTGACGGGCAAATACACTTGGGAAAGTTATGGAACCCACTTGTTCTTCCTAGAGGTATGGGTTAATTAGTAAAAAAAATTGAATCACTAGGTGACTATTATTTCCCAAAACAAAATAAAATTTTGTACAAAAATTTTTAGATTTCGTCATTAAATAAGCCATAGTGGTTTATATGCTGCTAAACTAAATCAGCCTGGGTATGATGATAAACTACATCCAGCAGCAAGGACTGTGATGAGGAGGATTTGAGGAGTGTGGAACCATTTCTTAATTGCTGGTGTTCCCAGGTCCAACTTGGTCCAGAGTGGTAGCACCTATTAATGACCCAGCTATGGGCAAATATTTAACGCTCAAACTGGTGTTAAAACACTGTGAAAGTGTAAAAATATGTTTTAATACTAGGAATAATTCTTTGAAGAAAAATTATTACCAGCAATACATTTTTAAAAAATATTACCAGCAATTAAATTTTTAAATATATATATATATATATATATATATATATATATATATATATATATATATATATATATATATATATGTATGTATAACCAACAATAAACATTTTGTCGGCATTAAATAACCCATTGTGGTTGACATGCCGTAAAACAAAACAAACCAAAGCAAATCAACCAACTGGTAATTATGTCCATACAAATACGTATTTGCACAAAATCTGAGCATCATCTACCATTTATTCTATTGTGAAAACAGAATAACGTATCATATCTCCCAAGAAAATTTGATTTCGTCATTAAATGACACATAAGCATAACAATACACGTAAAGAAACAAAGCAAACAAATATTTGTACTTGCCTGATTTTAGTATTGCAATCTGTAATTCGCAATCTACACTCCAAGAGAAATCAGAGTTTGGTGCCGAGTAGATTTATAACGGTTCTTGCTGAGTCTCATTAGATTAATATACGTTGTTCTAAGAACAATGGAGAAAGAATGGCGACCATCAAAATACGAAGTAATGAAAAAGAAAGAAAAATGAATGTAGAAAATCAAGATAGAAAAACAAACGAATGAAGAATAAAGAACGAACGGCAAATGAATATGCACTGAAAGGGGAAAAAAATTAAATATAAAACTTAAGTCGACTGGAAGAATTGTTTTACAACCATTGAATGAAGGACAAAACATCAATTGTATGAATAGAGAAGTTATACCTATCAGCAGACGGAAGCATGCAGATACGAACTTCAATCAAGTACAATCATTTAAATATCTAGGATATGTCTTAACAGGGGGTAGAAATCCTCAAGGGCTATTGGGATAGCGAAAGATCCCTCCTAAAAGCTATTATGGCATCTTGTTCTCAGAAATTTCCAACCGTTCTAATGTAGCTTCTCTGTGTCTTTTCTATAAATAAGTTCATGGTAATTGTTCCTCTTTTAGTTAAGTTAACTTAGCTAGAGGACGATTTTCCCATTGGCCTTCTTTTATTTTTGTCCTCACTTTTCTTTAGTTTATCCCCCACCCGTTAGATAACCAGAAATGTCTGTTCTCCAGTGAATGCTGAACGCCATACGCCTTTCCGAGTGATTTTTCGTATTTGTTGTTGTGTTTGAAGGAGTGTGTCTTTGAGCGAGTGCTTGGACGAATGTTTGATTGAATTATTTAATCCCGAATTAATTTCAACCAGTTAACTGATGTTTCTGCCTCACTTAAGGATTGTGCGTTTTTGTTTATTACTAATACTATTTTGGTTAGTTTCTTGCATATAAATTCTAATCATTGTAAATATTCATTGGGGTTCCATTTTTAAATGTTGTTTTTTTGTTTGTTTTTTGTTTTGTTTTTTAATTTCACACAGACAAATTGTACATATCGGGACTAGTTAGAACTTCATAGAAACTTCGGAGTATAATGGTGGCTGTAGTGAGAATGGTAAGAAAATTTACTTAACCTCCCCCCATCCACTGAGTCAGGTTGTGACACAAGGTCATTTTTTAACGTGGGGACCCGAGTCTTTTCTCTCGGGCTGCTGGTCCAAACTGGTCATAACTTGTCCAAGTTGGTCTAAGCTAGTCATAGCTGGTCTTGGCTTGTCATAGCTTATCAAAGCTGGTCAGAGCCGGTCCAAGTTAGTCATATCCCTGATACCACGAGCACGGGGACGCATCCCTGTGCCAGGTAATTAGAGATTTACTTGACCCCCCCACTGAATAAGGTTATGACACAAGGTCAGTTTTTAACGTGGGCACCCGAGTGTTTTCACTCTGGCCGCTGGTCCAAGTTAGCTGCTTATATCTTGTCTAAGTTGGTCAGAGCTGGTCTAAGCTAGTCATAGCTGGTCTTGGCTTGTTATAGCTTGTTCAAGGTGGTCATAGCCGGTCCAAGTTAGTCATAATCCTGTGCCAGGTAAGTATCAGTAAGAATGGTAAGTAACAATGTGTTGTTTTGATGTAAGGTATATTATCGTATGTTTAGGCCAGTAATTGTGGTTAGCTAAGTTTAAGCTAAGACAGATTAAATATCCACTTTGCTTCATCTCCACTTTCGGCCTTGTGCCACATTTCTGTATTTTCAAAATAAATATTACTTTCCTCATTGGCACCTAGACTTTATGAATTTAAGTGCAGTACTAGATTGGCGGCACGGTCTCATCATTTTACAGTTGAATTGACTAGATGTAACCGTTAGTTCTATGCTAACAGTTTCTTTTCGCATATTTCTCGCTTGTCTAATGGATAACTGATACAAATCTTACCAATTAACCCATGATACGGGAAGAAGAAGTGTATTCATAGTTTTCCCAAGGTTATTTGCGCATAAGTGAAATATAACGAACCGAATTGGAATTGGAACTCGGATCTCCGTTTAACAATCTCGAGCCTTTATCCATCACACCACCCGCACATCCAAGCTAATGGTACCTGGCATTTCCAAGCGGTCTTCCGCTTTGATACTGTCGAGGCTCGACGTTGATTTACTTAGGTGATCGTACGGGAGACGGTGTTTCAATATGATGTCCTCGTAAGCCCGTACTAAATGGAGACCAGACGAGATATCAGCAGACGAAGAGAAGCTACTACTCTGTAGATCAAGTAAAGGGCCCAGTTTTAAATTTGTTGAAAGTTACCCGGATGGGCAGGCACCTGGAGAAGACCGAAAGTCACAACTGCCGGAACGTTGCGATAATAACAACAAAATTGGAGACATACAAATATTATGCCTGGATAAAAAAGAGAGGCAAAATAAAACCAATGTACTAGCAACATTTTAAAACTGATAACCCACTGAAAAGATTTCACGTATTTCAATCTAATTCCAAAAATTAGGACGGTTTCTTAAACGATTATCATCTGCCTTTTATCTAGTCAAAAATTTCGCCAATCATCTATGTGAAACCGTATCAAGAAGGTGGCTATAATTTGTACAAGAAGAAATTTTCAAGAGTCTCCTTCACGATGGCTTCCAAGATTCTTGGCTACCAGCCATGTTCTTCTTTACAGAAAAATCATTTTCGATTATCAATATCGTTAGTTTCCATCTAGGCATATACGTACGATCTTCGAGGCAAAATATGCATCTTCAAAATTACAAGTTTTAGTATGCCATAATAATTAAAACACTAGAAGTAAGATTGTGTTTCGACAATGTTTCAAATGAGAAGGACCTATACTCTTTAAAATTAACATTCAGATTGATAAATCACCGATGGAGAGTTATTGTACAGACTAATAAGAACACGAATGCTCATCACTCAAGCGTAATATTAAATAAAAATAACCAAAGGCTAGTCACTTGTATCCGAGGATGCCCGTCTACTAGGCTAGCCAATCCCTGTTGCAGACGCCTGCCCAGGAACATCCGTGTTTGCTTCAACACACACAGTGTCTAACTGTCGTTTATATAACAACTATCCTGAGAGGACCTTAGTTAGTTTCTTAGTTATCTAACGTGATCAACAGTCTGAACAAGGCTAGTGCCATCCAACCCTCGGTCACGATGACATGTATCTTCGTGCTAGCACAACACTCAACGGAGTTCCCTATACCCAATTTTATTCGCAAGGCGATCCAAAGGTACTGCACGCTGTGATCACCTCCCCCATAAAGATAACATCAAGAAGATACATTACTGACGAATCGACCATGGTGAGATTCGAACCCGAGTTTTATGATTAGAAAGCGAACGATGTATCCATTCGACCACGTGCCCATATGCGTAATATTACTGTTTGTTTAATACCCCAGTTTAATTACGATCGACAGTTTATCCCACATTCCCCTGGTATGAATGTAAGAAAGACTCCTTCCTTCCTCTCGTCTCCCTCCCCCTCTCTCTCTCTCTCTCTCTCTGGTTGGCTTTTATATATTTGCCATCGGTTTTTCTACGCGTGAACTTCCAAGACACAGTTATATTGGCTGTTGGATATTGGTTGGGGAAAGACTTTTGGCCTTCCTTCCGCTGCATCACTATGTGAGTTGAAATCGGAACTGGTGACAGCATAAAAAGGAAATGCATCCAGTGGCTAATATACAGGACGTACAGGTGTCCTGAGTCTTGAATAAACAGGGCGCACAGGTGTGCTGAGCAGAAAGAAATTCGTGCATGCGTGGGTGAATAACGGAAGAGGTGGAGCCACAGGAAATTGCGTGGGCGACAGACCGGTAGGAGGTCTAGCCACGTGAAGTTGCGTAGATGTCCAAATGTTATATAACCGGTCCTATAGGTTCCCGGAAGATTTGGCTCCGTCAATTCCTGTGTACCCAATCCTAACTTCTGTGATTTTTCCTCACTC